AAAAACAATCATGAAGTAAATCATACAAATTTTAATGTTTTGTAAATTATTCTCAGAGTGACTTGAATACACTGTATTTTTTTCTTCTTTTTGGGTGGGGGACAGTCCTGTGGATAAAACCAAGGCCTCACACATGCTAGAAAAGAATTCTACCACTGAGCTCTATCCCCAGGCCAACCCTGTACTTTTTATTTGCGTGCTGGGTTTGAACTCAGGGCCTTCAACTTGAGCCACTCCACCAGCCCTTTTTGGTGATGGAATTTGTTGAGATAGGGTTCGTGAACTATTTGCCCAGGCTGCTTTGAAACTATGATCCTCCTGATGTCTGGCTCTCCTGAGTAGCTGGGATTACAGGTTGTCAGCCACTGGCACCCAGGCATAACCCTGTACCTTTTCAAGCACTTTTATTCCAGGCTACTATGATTTTATTTCCCAAAAAGTTTGTAGCATTTATCTGAGGGGCTGAAAGGGTAGAAGGTAAAGGAGGATTCTTATTTGAGGGGCCTTTCATTCCCCCCTGAATTCTGGAGTTCCTCATGAATCACAAAGAAATGAAATTTGTGACAAGCTCTCAATTACATGCAACACACACACACACAGATTAAATCCCTCTCCTTCACCTCACATAATAAAACAACTAGTCTACTCCTCATTTGATATGGCCTTGAAATCAAACCATGGTGAAAGATAGATGTGGATTTTCTGGTCATTTTCCTGGGAAAGTGTAGAGTGTTAGCTATTTGATGATTTTACATTGCAATCCTTATGTCATGTGGTATTCTGCCCTATTAAGCAGTCATTATTCTGCTAAAATTCATTCATTTAACAAATATTTATTAAGCACTCCCTATACAGGCCAGTGTGTTGGATACTCAGTGGTGAATAAAACACTGAACACAAATTAAAACCATTTTCTTCTGTTCTTCAAATGAGGAAGAGAATTAAGTTACTAAACTATTTAGAGATAGACTTATATTATCAAAATTTGCGTGACTAAACTTTAAGTAAGTTGTAATAAGTTATAAGAGTAGTAAAAATTCAGCTACAGATCATTTTTTACAATTGTCTGGATATGTCACTGGAACTTTTAAAAAATTATTAATTCAGAAGTTGCCTTAATGCTAGCATTGATTAATGTTAGTTTTTATAGATGACAACATGCTTACATGTCTTCAGAATCAGAAGGCCTTTCTTTAATGGGCTCATCTTCAATTCATCTATTTCAAGATTGTTCTTGATGAGCATCTCCTACAGTTGGAAACATCCATCAGGGTTCTGAACAGCTTTGAGAGATCTGGAAGTGAACATGTCCTCAAACATCTAAAAAAATTGACAGATTACTTATGAAGTTAGGAGAATTAAAAAAATGAGAGGGAAATTAGAGCTAATAATTATTATATATAACTCATATATTTAGAATTAGGGGTTCAAGGTGACTTGCTCAAGTTTAGAAACTAATTTTCTTAAATTTCAGGTACTTTTCATAGAGGAAACTAAACTTATGAGTTATGATTGCATTAACACACAGAAATTCACTTAAGTCACCTTAAAAAGGCAAGAATGGCCTGAAATTGAAAATCTGTCAGAAATCAGGCAGTGCTAGAAAACTATCCATTCTGTCCTTTGTCACTGAGGGCCCATACTGTGCCTCCTTCATGGTATTCCATGGTATTTCTAGGTAGTCCTCTCGCCTTCCTATGATCTACTCTCTCCATACAATCTTGCTGAATGTGAAGTAAGTTCTTGGAAGCATGGTAAAGCACAATCACAAACAACTGGCAAAGCTTTGCATCACTTAATCATTCACAGGAGTTGCTGGCTAGCTAACAAGTTAAATCAGAGGCCTTAAGTCATGTAAAGAGAAGCCTATCACTGCTTCCCTGGCATGGACTGTTAGTGGAGTCTTCTGGTATCAATGCTTAGACTCACTTATGAAAACACTTATGAAAGAAAGCAGCCAATTCTGTTGAAAAAAAAACCCCAACAAAAAATGCACATTTGAGGGTGTTGACGATTTAAATTTGTGTTGGATAGCAACCAGCTTGCCAGCCTTTCAATGCTTACAGTGTGATGAACAGACAGGGAACTATCTATGTAAGTCTTTGGGTTGGGGTAATCCTAAAGGAATCTGTGAAATTTGAAACATGACTACTAAGGTCCTTGATAAGAACTCCACATCAGATGGAAGACTTTGAAGAAAATACAATGTTAGCATATTAGTAGAAATTTATATATTTGCCAATTTTATTAGTACACTTAGTTCTGAGAATAAATATTTTACGGTTTAAACATATAAGCCAGAAGGTAAAATGGGCACCCAGTAACAATTTCCCCAGGTAATTGCTAAACAGCAAAAGACAATAGATTAATGTGATTTGAAGAGAAACCGTGAATAGACACCTAAACAACTAGGGTCAAGAATGTAAAACAGGTCATGTTAAGGGAAAGGGTACTGGTGGAAAGGGGAGGGTAGATGAAGAAAGTAAAGAGGGTGAATATGGTTGATGTACTTCCTATACAAGTATGACTATGGAACACTGAAACCTGCTGAAATCACCATAAGAAGGGGAATGGTGTAGGAGGGAGAATAATGGGGGGGATGAACCAATTTGTGGCATAATACATGTATATATAGAAATGTCCACAATGAAATCCTCAGTATAAAAAAGAAAAAGAAAACAGCAACATGTACTAGATACCTAAACTTGAGGGGATGATACAAAAGGATGTAATTTTTTTTAAGGCTGAGAAAAATTTTAGTTAGCCCTCGTAAAATCATCTCAATTTTAGTTTATTCTTCTTACTAATTAAAATAACTTTCATAACCTGTCATAAAATGGTACAGTAAGAACAAAATTTCAAATGGTCATGAAATTTGACAACCTACAGGTTTGTTAACTTGTTACAACCAATCTGACTTTGTCTCAGTTGGATAAACTTTTTATATTCAATATATTTATATATATAAATATATATAAATATATTTATATATATTTATATTACAGACTTTATGTTTTAAATAGAATCTTTACCTTCAGCCAAAAAAAATCTCATGTAAGAACCCCATCAGATCTGCCATACTTAGGAGGTAGAGATCAGAGAATCATGGCTTGAGGGCAGCCCAGGCAAAAAGTTCACAAGACTCCATCTTAACCAACAGAAAGCTGGGCAGTGGTGAACACCTGTCATCCTAGCTATGCAGAGAAATATAAATAGAGGGATTGTGGTTCAGGGTGGCCTGGACATAAAGCAAGACCCTATCTCAAAAATAACCAAAGCAAAAAGGGCTGGTGGCATGGCTTATGACTGGGCACCAGCCTGGTAAACACTGAGTCCTGAGTTCAAACCCCAATACCACCAAAAGAAAAAAAAAATACTCCTCAAAAACCCTATCAGTTTTTTTTTTTTTTTTGTGCTGGGCATGGAACCCAGGCTCCAAGGCATGCTAAATACTTACTCCAACATTGGGCTACACTCCAGACTTCCTTTTAGTTCTGTAATTTTGATTCTGATTTTTTCATGTTGTTTAAACTACATGCTATAGATATTCACAGAATGATATCTTGCTGAAAATATTAGCTCACATATAATATATTGCCTTGGCATCTTATTTCACACAAGATCTCTTTTTGTTCCCTCTAGATTCTTTGTGTCATAATTTACCCAGCTAACATTTAATACCATTAGAAAATCAAGCAGGAGAGCATATTTAAGAAAATTTATTATTTCTAAAATGTGTGTTTTGTTAGTTTTTATTGTTTAGTTTATTTTTCTAAAAAATAAAAAGAACAGGGCTGGCCATGGTGGATCATGCCTGTAATTCCAGCTAGTAGGAGGCACAGGTAGGAAGATGGTGGTCTGAGGTTGGCCCTAGGCAAAAATGTGAGACCCTATCTGAAAAATAACTAAAAGGAAAAAAGGGCTGGGGGCATCATGGCTCAAGTGGCAGAGGGTATGAGGCCCAGATTCAAATCCCAGTAAATGGGGAGTGGGGGAAAAAAGAGTGGGGGGGAAGAGTGGAGAAAAAGAGGAAAGGGAGAGGGAGAGAAGGAAGGAATGAAGATAATTACTAGCTTCATTAAGAATTTCACATCAAATTCTATTTCAAAGAATTGTTAACTTGCCTTTTTATTTTTAAAATTTTTCATAGTTATACTATTTCATAGTATGGATCCATTTGTTTAGTCTATGTTTATGACAATTCAATTGTAATACTGCTTCCTCAAAATAGCTTCTATAAATATTTCACTTCAACCCATAAACCAGGTTAAAAATGAATTTAAAACAACTGATATTGCCAGGTGTGGTTGCTCATGCCTTTAATTCTAGTCACTTTGGAGGTGGAGATGGGCAGGATAGTGGCTTGAAGTGAACCCAGGCAAAAATACAAGACCTTCTCTTAAAAATAACAAAAGCAAATTATGAACACTTACCAAAGGCAAAAATTATGGATATTATTTAAGAATGGATACATGAGCAAATCAAAAGAACTGACATTAAAGGTACATGTACTATTTATGAATTCTACATGAATTTTTTTCCCACTCTGCATTTTTTTTTTTGGTAGTACAGGGTTTGAACTCAGGGCCTTGTGCTTGCTGGGTAAACCCTCTACCACTTGAGCCACACCTCCAGCCCCTACTCTGCATTTTCTATAATAAGAAATTCTCAAGTTTTTATACAGATCACTCTACTCCCCAGAAGGGAAAAGTTTCATCACAATACTCATCTGGTCTCTTTCCACCCCTTATTCACAATCCTTTTCAGTGAGGCAGAATGAGCTGACTGAAGACACTGATTATACAATAGTGCCCACCTTTTCCTCCCTTTCCTAGATCTGCCTGTCATTAAGTGTGCAGATCCTGCTCCCCTTTTCCTGCCTGGTGGGAATACACATAGGTCAGGCCTAACCCTGCCTTCTGAGGACAAGATGGGTCTAACATCCAGCTTCCCAAAAACTGGAGCTTAGACAGTGTATATAAAACTCATTGTGGGTTAAGGAAGTTTGTTTTGCAGACTCTATGGCTGTCTAAGGATTAGTCATTGCAAACAAATACTGAGCACCACAATTTATGTAAGGTCTAAGCCAGATTTTCTAGCCAACATCGCCTCCACCCCAAACTCCTCCCCCAACTCCTCCTCCCTCAGCAACCCAATGCCAACGAGCCCACACACACTCGAAATGGGAACTCTTACTCAGAAACTCCTTAAGCAGGGCTCCCGTTACAAGAAGTGTCGGGGCCCGAGGGATCAATTTGTGTTCATGTGCTCTTCACCATAAAGGCTTTCCAATGTGTAGAGAAAAGTTGTGGTACATTGAAGATGCAGACAAATTTACAGTTGAGTTTCAGACCCTGGCATTAGGGTTTGATCTTACTTGGAGGGATGCTCAGTTCCTCCTGGCCAACTGTTGCACTTCTACAAAAAGGAAAAATTTTTGCTGCTGCCCATAGAGAGGCAGATGAAACCTTTGCTAGGGATCACACAGGCCAACATCCAGGGGATGTCACTGTCCCAGTGACTGAGTCTCATTGGGATTACAATACTCCAGGAGGGATGCAGAGGAGGACCCACATGTTAAGAGGCCATCCTTCATGGAACGAAAACAGGAGCCACAAAGCCTATGAATTATAACAAGGTCAAAGTAATCATTCAAAAGAAAGAGGAAAATCCTATAGCCTTTTATGATAGGCTAGAAGAAGCCTTTAGAAAATATACTACTCTTGATCCTGAGTCTATTGAAGGGGCTGCCCTCCTAACAACCATTTTGTCAATCAATAGGCCTCAGACATTAGACGAAAGCTTCAGAAGCTAAATCCAGGACTCCTAACCAACAAAACTCAGTTGGTAGATATTCCCTTTTAGGTCTTTAACAACTGTGACCTGGAAAAGGAAAGGAAGGAACAAAGTAAGGAAAGAAGACAAGTGAAACTTATGGTGGCTGCAATTGGGGTTGTCCCCAATGCCCAAAAGACATCCTCAGACAATAAGGACAGAAAACTACCCTACTTCAAATGCAAGAAGCTGGGGCACATGGTGAGGAACTTCCCAGAGTCACTCCAGGGATCCTGTCATGAATGCTTCAAAACAGGAGGTTACCATTGGCTCTGGAGGATGGACTGTCCCTGTTTCCAGAGAGGGGCCAGGTCAAACCAAGACTCTGGGTACACTGGCTGAAGCTGCACATGACTGAGGAGGCCTGGAGTGCTCTCAACAGCCCCCACATAAGCTTGTCATCACTTATGAGGAAACTCTGTTGTCCTTGAAGTCTTGGGTGGACAAATTCTATTTCTTATTGATACGAAGCGCATTACTCTGTT